TTTTTCCTTGCCATGTCTTTGTAAATAGGTATTAGAACAGGCCAACTGGAACTAAAAGTGGAAGAAGGAATGTGCCAAGTGATAGGTCGAAAATGGTTGGAGTGGTTGGAGAGTTTGGAGGCCCAGGATCGCAAGACCTCATCAGCGATTACAGAGCATGCTCAGTTTCAGAGAAACCTAATTGAAACGTACAAGTATGTGGTGGATATGCATTCCTCTTACGAGTATGGCCATGGATTTCGAGAGGCTAAATGGGCAGTTGAAAAATATAAACTTCACGGAACAATCGATCATATTTTAACCTATAGAAAACTTCCAGGATAACGATGGCTTTGCTGTATGAATGTACGCATTAATAAAGTTATGGAAAGAGGTTTTTGAACATTCATCAAAATGTAAATATTTTTTCTTTCTTACGTCTTTTTTTTTGGGATCAAAGCACTTCAATTTCATTCAACCTCAAAAATAGAGGAACAAAACATACAACTGAAAAAACACAAACAAAACTCCCAAATAACCTCAAACTAGAGTGGACCAGGTAGACCATCCGAATTGAGAACATGCATGAGAGCTAGTGGAGCCCTGTTGGGCCAGCATCGCGCTATTTTTTTTTTATTGCTCGCGTTTGTCCCACATCGACAATTTAGAGAACAACCAAGCGCTTTATATAGCTTCAGCGCGGCTAAGAGGTCACGACCTTACTTGGACAGGATCTGTTCTATAGTAATCGTACCTCTGTATCCTTGATTTCTAAGGAGACAGGAATCCCAACCTGGTGGATGAATCATGACCGTGTGATCAGAGCGTGATTAACAATCTGGTGGTCCTCGTGATCACCACGACCGTAGAGGATCGTTCTCAGTCAGTCTTCTCTGTCTGGGGTGGTCACACGGTTGTCTGACAGGTTCCCCCTGTTTTTTATGTTTTGTTAAATGTTGAGGCAAATTCTTTTTAATCTCCTCGATTGCAACCTACACTGCTTCTTCCTCAATGGCAACATAAGTACCTACGTGCATCGAGCTAATCACTTCCTTTTGACCCTTCACAGCATTTTCTTAGTTTTTCCAAAAAGAGTCAATCCACTTCCCCATTGAGGCTACAGGGATAGAGCTAGCAGCTGCAACAGGTGGACCTGCCGTGGCTGCTGCAACAGCTGAACAAATCCACACAGCAGCAATTAGCCACAAATATCATAGGCTGCTGCATGGATGCTATTGAGCTTCTTATCTAGCTTGTTCTTCGGAAGTTTCAACTTCTCAAGCATTAGTGTTTGTTGCATGTAAACAGATTGAAAAATTTGGAAGTACTCTTTAGTAAAAGGATCACCTATTTATTTCCTTGAACTTGTTCAATTCCTCCAAAGTCCTCGCGTATCGATTGCCTCCTATTTCAGTTTCCTTCTCAAATTGTTGAAGAGAAACAAGAATGAACGATTGGCTGGCACGAGCTCGCCTCAAACATTTCTCCAGTGCAGTACAGGAATCTAAGGTCCGCAAGCTGTTTTCTAAGTACTTTTCAACAAGCTCAAACAATTCCTGATTTTTTTCATATGTCTTTCTTGCATTCCAAGACAAGTTTTCACAACCTCTTGATTCATCTCCAATAGACATTTTATGGCTTCCTTCAAGGAACCAAGTGAGGGAGCTTCAACCTCCTGCAGTTGCTATGATGACTAGATTGGTATCAAAGGAATGCAAGCCTGCATCAATCTTGAAAGCTGCCTCACCTGAGCTCAATTGATCAGTTGTGTCTTGTAAATTGGTACCGAGATTGATAGCAGAAGATGTTTCAGGGCTCTTCTTGCTCATATGGCCTTCCATAGCTTCAATATAGATCTAAGCCATCAAAACCAGCAAAAACAGGACCGTGTGATCAGGGCATGATCAACAATCTAATGGTCCTTGGATCATCCAATTAGTAGAGGATCGTTCTCAGCCACTCTTCTCTTGCTGGGATGATCACACGGTTGTCTGACAGGTTCCCCTCTTTTATTTTCATTTTTGTTCTAGATTATTACATCATATGTTCAGAAGTCAGGAATCTGCAATTCTAAAATATATGCACTTCACATGTGCAAGTTTCTCATATGTTCACTAATGGTTTTCTGGTAAACTTATTTCTGAATTACAGATTAATTATAATTATTGGCTGAGGTTAAGTAGTCACCATCATGATTTGGACATGAGAATTCTTTATAGCAGGGATTGTTGTTAAACTGATTTCTTACTTACAGATTATAAATATTTGCTGAAGTAAGAGTAGTTAACTATCAATTAAGATTAGGACAAGAGAATTCTATAGAGCACTCATTGTGGTTATATGTATAGAAAATTATGCAGGGAAAGGAAAATAACATAATAACTTAGTAGCTTAGAGACAATACAAACCCATACAAGTAGCTTAGAGAGGTGAGCATTGGACCGTAAACTCAAACAGATTATATTTGCCTTGAACTTGACCATGTAAAAATACTTAAATTTACCTGATACATGTGATTTGCAAGTTTTTGGGCGGGAATGAATGAGAGGGTTTCCCTCATTACCTGAAAAAAGTCATGGATACAAAAAGAACTACATACAGTTAGTTTAGTTATACAGGCACTTGGAAAACCAACCATAAAAGGAGAAAGCATAAATTGACTGCTCACGTGACTCAGAAAAGCCCCATATTGGAACTTGGAAGTTTCAAGTCTCAACTTGTAACAATTGAGCATGATTTAAGCAGAAGAAAGATGGCTACATGAGCAATCAACATGAAAAGAGACCTCTGAGTGGCAATTTCTTCTAATCTTCCAGGCACCACATTCTGAAATACATGAGGTCACACTGGTATGGAAGTTTATGGAACAATAGACCAGACAAACTCCAATGGTTGTTTGGAACAAAAGAACAGACCAGACAAACTTCACCAGATCAAGTAAATAACGATTAAATTGAAGAGAAAATCATTATGGGAACTACTTCAAGTCAGATCTTGCCTAAACATTGATAAAGTGTGAAATGCTATATAATCTTACATTATTTCTTTTATACATCAATCCAATCGTCTGGGATTCCAAGGTACAATCTAAGAATGAAAAAAATATGATAATTAAAAAAAAAACAGAAAGTTACACAAATTCGAATGTCATCAAGCATCAAAACAGCAACAGGTTAAATATTGAGGATCATCGGACTTCTAGTTGTTGGAATGTTTTATGATCCTCTGCAGAACCACAGTCCTTGCTCTTCGAATGTCACGGCTGCAGGTATCAGCTTGAGCTCCCAAATCCTCTACATTCTTCATAAACACTCCCAACTTCTTCTTAATCTCCTCAATTGCAACTGTAACTGCATCCTCCTCAATGGCAAAGCTTGCATTATGCAAGAGGGACTCAATTTCAACTTCCAATCGATCGATAAGAACCCGAATGTTGTCCAAGTCCTTTATGGCAACATAAGTCCCTACTTGCATTGAGCTAATTACTTCCTTTTGACCCCTCAAAGCATTTTCATAGTTTTTCCACAAGGAGTCAATCCACTTCCCCATTGAGCCTACAGGGATAGAACTAGCAGCAGCCAGAGCTGCTGCGACAGGTGGAGCAGCCATGGCTGCTGCCACAACAGAACAAATCAACACAGCAGCAAATGTAGCAACAAATATAATACTCGAAACCTTCCTCCAGGCGTGGATGTATTTGAACTTCTTATCGAGCTTGTTCTTTCTTAGTTGCAACTTCTCAAACATTAGTATTTGTTGCCTGTAAACAGATTGAAAAATTTGGAAGAACTCTTCAGTAAAAGGATCACCTATAGCCTTGAAAGTCTTCAATTCGTCCAAAGTTCTCGTGTATCGACTGCCTCCCATTTCGGTTTCCTCCTCAAATTGTTGGAGAGCAACAAGAATGAGCAATTGGCTATCACGAGCTCGCTTCAAACACTTCTCTAATGCAGTACAAAAATCTAAAGTCTGCAAGCTGTTTTCAAAGTACTCCTCTACAAGCTCAAACAATTCTTGATTTTTCCATATATCTTTCTTGCACTCCAAGATAACTTTCACAACCTCCTGGTTCATCTCCAACAGGCATTCTGTGATTTCCTTCAATGAATCAAATGAGAGAGCTCGAACTTCAACTCCTGCTGCAATTGTGTTGATGACTTGATTGGTTCTGGTTTGGATATTGGTATCAAAGGATTGCAATTCTGCATCAACCTTGCAAGCTGCCTCATATGAGCTTAATTGATCAGTTGTGTATTGTAAATTGGTGTTGAGATTGATAGCAGAGGATGATGTTTCAGAGCTCTTCTTGCTCATATGGCTTCCCATAGCTTCAATTCAGATCTAAACAAGAGAAAACAGAAAAACCCACAAATAAAAGTTCAGAGCTTGGCCAAATTGCTTTCCCTTGTAATTACGATTCTCAAAGACAAGAAATGGGCATTTTGTCAAGCAGGAGCTAATTTCCAAACAAAGACCATTAATTGCACCCCAAAATGGAATCTTCAATCCCAGATTTGCTGCCAAACTAATTAATGAAGTTGCAGATTTGAACCAAACCCACTTGACCAAAACCAATGAATTCCAACTTTTTATACAAGAAAATCAACTTCTAAGACTTCACCATCACAAATCATGATGTAAAAGCATCGAAAGCACCAAACTTTATTGCTAAGCTTTTTCCAAACCGACCTAGCTGGCCAGAATGAACAAGAACACCAGAACAAGATAAAGAGAAAGTCCGAACCTTTGAGAGCAAATAGAGAAGAGAAACAAAAAAAAATCGCTAAAATAGATGATGGGTTTTGACTAAATAAAGGAACTGAAGCAAATCAAGGGGAGAGAGAGAGAGAGAGAGAGATGAGGTGAAATGTGAATGAGGAATGAAGAAAAGTTTAAAGAGAATTAAAAGTTTTAATGGCCAAGAAAATAAGATGGGTTGGGTTTTAGATTTTAGATTTTAGGAATAACTTGCACGCATGAGAGAAATGAGAGAAATGAGTGAAATAGGCATGGAAAACGCGGGAAGCAATGTCCCTTCTCTATCTCTCTCTGTGCCTTCCCGAAAACCCTTTAGGCCTTATCTTTCTCCCTGTGTCTCTGTGTTTTGTGGCTCTCTTCCACAGTTTTAACGCGCAAAGCAACAGTTTCCAAGGTGAAGGAACCACCTTTGATTTTGTTTCGACAAAACAAAACCAATAAATGAAGGAAATTATTAAAAAGGGTGGCAGAGGCTTGATACCAAAGTCTTGTTTTGGTAGTAATAATGGCAAGCAAACGCAGTGCAACACAAGTCAAGTGTTTCAAATGGGAAAACAACCAAAGGTCTTTTACTTTGAAGATTTTGA